GTCAGTAGTTTGGCCAGCTCACTGTGAGCCTCCATCAGTCTGTCCCTGTGGCAGCTGTCAATCACAAACACCACCGCTACAGGACGAGAGGAAGAGAGGTGCAGCTTTAAGTTCCAGCGTTCAGTGTTAGAGAGCATTTAGCACTCAAATATGATGCAAACATTAAAAAAGAAGGAAAAAAATCTACCAAAATAGGTTTTTTAAACAGAAGTTATTATTCATTTATAATTCAGCTACTGGACCTGATTCCTGAGATAACATGCTGCCTATAAAAAGTAATCACCTATCTGGGAAATTCTCGTGTTTTGCCGGCTTACAACATTCAGTCAAACAGGGCTTCTGCAGGTTCATTCTAAGACCTTTTAAGATCATTATGAATGCAATACATTGGATATAATAGACCTGGACTGTATTTCACAGTGATAGTGATGGTCGAGTTTAACCAACTCATACACTGTAATACAGAACCAGTGATTCCCTGCTTTGGTCAAACATCTCCAACAGACAGCAAAAATGACTCTCAACATTCCTCAGAAATGGGCTAATAAGCCTGTTTCCAAGTAAGTCGGCTTTTGTTGCATAATTCACATGTTGCAATCATTAGTCGTTTTTTTATCTGACCAGAGTTGCTGCTCTAGTTCTGTGTTATGTAAGTAAGCTCAACTGTACTCAGTGCACACACTCAGGCTAGACTAGCTGCTCCAGCAACATCAAGGTCAAATTCAGTGTTTTGCTGCCTTTGAGAGAATTTATGCCTATGGAAAACTAAAGATATATTTGATTTAAAAATACAATAAAACAAAAGGAAAAGGTGCACAAAAAGTTTGAATACGTAAACTTTGCTGAGAAGAATTTTAGTCTACCACAATGTGCCATAAGTCAACAGGAAGATTTCTCTCACGCTATAGGTGACACACAGTACACTGAATGTAATTTAGACAATAGAAACATATTCAAAGTATGCAGAGCACAGATCATACCTTGAGTGTTCAGATAATAGTGTTTCCACAGGGGTCTGAGCTTGTGTTTGCCACCCACGTCCCAGATAGTGAATTTCAAGTTCTTATATTCAACTGTCTCCACATTGAAACCTTCAAAAGAAAAGATTGAAAACAAACTTTATTCAGAACAACACCCAGAGAAGTGTTTGCGTCATCACTGCAGAAGTAAGCAGATTACACTGTAAATGCTTTTTACCGATGGTGGGGATGGGTTGCATGAACTCATCTTGTTTCAGCTTGAAGAGGATGGTGGTTTTTCCGGCTCCATCGAGCCCGAGAGTTACTACACGGATCTCCATCTTTGGACCGATGTGAACCCGGTTGTCCTGTAACACATTTGGACCAAACAGGGGCTCTTTAGTGACAGGACTCTTGGCTGATCAACCTCCAGGAACAGCTGTGACAAGGAGAGTGTGTACCTTAGTGAAGGTGACGGGGATGCCAGCATCCAGCTGAATGTGATCTGCCAGCTCTGTGAACTGGTGCTGCTGCTTCTGAAGCGTCTCCAGCAAACAGTTGATCTCCTGCTTCGCCAGAACGACTCTGCAGTCATCCTACAACAGGAAGGCAAAGCTCGCCACGTCAGCCTGATTCAATAAGACGTATCTGTATCTGTGTCTGTGTCTGCTCGTGTCTCCTACCTGCTGAAGTGTTTTCTCACAGTGCAGACAGGCGGTGGAGACCTGAGACAGCAGGATGGTCATGTCCTCCTGCTGCTGCCTCAGCCAGATCAGCCTCTCCCTGACGTGAGCGTCCACCACGCTCAGCGCCATCTCCTCCTGCCGACACAGAGTCTCGTGGAGGTCTGCAAAGTAAGCTCGGACACAGGAACGTGCGCTCTCTGCTGTGCCGGGGACCTGATGAAGAGACGCGGACAACTCATGTTTATGCCACAACAGAAGTACTAGTGCTTGGCAAAAAAAAAGGATGGACCTGTAAACTGGTTTTAATTTCCTGTGTGATACA